CTCCTGCTTTTCCCAGGAGATGTCAGCCCCAAAATCTGCTCTTCTACAAACTTCTCATGAGCCCAGTGTTCTCTGCAGGGTGATGCTAGAAGCCTTGGGTTTGTGGCCCTTAAACCTCTGCAGTGCTCTGGAGCTAAAGAAGGAGGCCTCAGGCAGAAGAGATAATAAAAGGATACGGCAGTGATGATCCATCTTCAGCACACACCTGTGAGGGAGGGACACAGGCTCTGTTACGGTGGCCAAGGATCTTGAGATGTCAGTGCCAATCCTTTCCTATAAGGACCAGCATCCTGCTGAGGTGGAAAGGGCACAGACTTTGAGGAGAGCCAGGCCTTGCTTCAAACCCTGCTTCACTGGCTACATGACACTGGACAAGCTAACTCCGGGTCTCTTGCCTACCCTGGCCCATCTCTCTGAATCTCACTTTCCACAAGTGGTGAAAATGCGGAACTTGCAGGACGATCCTGAGGACCAGGTGTCCCGATATAGAGGGCACACTGCCTGGCACATGAGGGGTGCCTCATAAATGTCCTGTCAAATTCCAGGTCTAGGTTCTGCCCTAGAACTACAGCAAAAGGGCCACAGCTGGGGTTCCCAGAGACCCACCTATTGCAGATGCTGCAGTGGTGTGTTCGGGCTGGCTTGGGGTTAATGCACTTCTTACAGATGGAGACTGTTGTGATATCATTCCTGCCCTGTGCAGAGGGAGAAAAGCACCATGACAACTGTGGCAGCACCGGTTTCGTACCTCCAAAATACCAAGGCACTCTCCCTCCGCACTCCTGGAACTGGCTCCAATAGCCTGCAGTTCTCTCCCTCCCCCATGCCCCTGAGGGGGTACCCACCGGGGGTGGGTATCCAGGTGGAGTGGTGATAGCCTGGTAGTAATGGAAGACGATGAGGATCAGATTCCAGTGACTATAGAAGAAATGCCAGCAGAGTCGTGGCACTGAGTAGGTTTGAAGGATGAGGGGCAGGATACACAGGTAGGCAATGGCCACGATGGAGCTGGTCAGCACGATCACCAGCACCACGAACACCTGCCGACACCAGGGAGGTCAAGAAGACGCAGTGAGAGAGCTTGCCAACACCCAGGGTAGACTCGGGAGTTTCCCCAGGGTAGGAGGCCAGTGTGAGTCCAAACCCAGTGTAGGTCCATCAGACACATGTCCCTCTGCTACCCCCAAACATCCCTGTTCCTATCCCCAGGCATCACTCACCACCCCACACCAGCGGATCACGTTGTCCACTAGCCAGTAGATAGGCTCAAAGGCAGCATCCACAGCGGTGTCACTGCCTGCAAAGGAGTTGTGGAGCAGGGAGCGCAGGCAGACCTTGCCATAGCGCCAGCGCTGAACCAGGCCGCGGAGCAGAGGTGGGCAGCGGCGCCTGTAGCCCAGGAGCAGAAGCAGGCGCAGGCAGAGGCGGGCAGGGCCCAGCAGCAGGCTCCGCTGGCCCCGCATGGCTCCTAGGAGAGCACACAACTGTGAGGGGCCAGCCTGGGTCCTGTCCCTCCCTGCCCCACCAGTGGGGCGCTTAGAGGCAAAGACCTAAGACCGAGGCCCGCTGGGCCAGTCAGTAGGTGTGGGAAGTAGGGAGGTGACTCCAAGCCAAAGCAGGATCTCTGGAGTTGTCTGTGTAGACGGACCACTGGGTGGAGCCCGACCAACGTGCACAAAGCCATCCACGTGCCTCTGAGGGCCTGGCCACAGTAGCAGAGGTGTCCCGGCATCTCCTGCCTGCCCTGGCCCATTGGCCTACCTCCTAACAATTGTCTTCACCAGGAACAGCCAGTGGGGGAGTGAGTTCACAGCATGTGGATCCTGCACCTAGATCTTCCCTGATGCTACCTGAGTCTTGGCAAAAGATACTCATCCTTCCTGCTGACGTTACAGGCCTGGTGGCATGAAGAGTCCCTGTCTCCTGTCAGGACAGCTCAGCTACCCCTTGCATGATGTAAGATGCTTTGTCTCCAATTCTAGTCCCAGCCCCGCCGCAAGCTTACTGAAGCCAAGACAATTTCTGGTGTTCAGAGCAGAACACCACCACAGGCAGGAGACACTGGCAGTGGGAGGAGGGCTGGTGGCTCCTGAAGACCACAGGGCCTGCCCTCTGAGTGATGAGTCTCCCCCGCCCTGTTCTAGTTGGACACTCGAGAGCTTTCTCTGTGGCTGCTGCCATTGGCCCCAAGCTTCCCAACCAACCTTCCCAGCTCTTTAGCCCTGTGCATGGCTCCTCTGCAAGTGCCTTCACCTCCTCCATGTGGTTTTTACCTTATCTAATAGCCACAGGAGGTCAGCTGCCCAGGCAATGCCCAGAACAGAAGACACAGATTCCTTCATGACAGTCTCATCAATTCTGCAGATTAAGGGCTTTACCAGAAAGGAAATTATCTGATTTTCTCCTATGGCTACTTTGTCCTCAGCAACTCCACTGACTTATTTAACAGGCAGCTCAAAACCCAGCAGAAACTGGAGGAGGCTGCTCCACTGTAGGGGTGGTTTCATTTCAGTAACTGGAGCAAGGTACTCTCCTTGCACCCTGGCTCATCCCCACAAGAGGCCTTTCAAAGAAAACTTAATTATCTCCTTCCACAAGCCCTCTAAAGACCTAAGGCAAAAAGAAATCCAGCAGACAAGGCCAGCAAAGAGAAGGCAGACAATTCAGTAGGGACCTGCTCTCTGTACCAGGATAAAGTGGCCATTCCCATCACCTCCGAGGGTGTAAGAGAATTAAGGGGCCGTGTAGAAAAAAGAAAAAGGAAAAGCTCAAACTTCTTCCTACCTCCTTTGAGTTGGACTCCTATTGTGTCGAATCATGATTTGGCTTAAAGCATGAGTTTTCAAATAGTATACAGCTAAAATCTAACATAAGAGTGGGACAAAACATTTTACCCCATAGCAAATCCAGGTGACTTAGGTCATCCGCATATTGTTCATTCCCTTTCTATGGCTAATGGAGAGTTTCCTATTTACTAAAATACTTTTTATAACAATAACTTTCAAATAAGATGCATTCCTCATCTGTAATAAACATGAATTATATGCCATCTCTCCTGTCTACAAAAAAAAATCTCCCTTCTCTGATTCTCCACTTTTCAGCTTGTTCTCAACCACTTCCAGAATAACTGAGCTCTACAGGAAATGACTGCCTCAAGCACTAGACTTACCAACTCTCACCTGCCCCATAACTCGACTACTTAGGGTTCAATTCTGCCCTTAAGTAGTTCTGTGACCTTGGGCAAATCACCAAACCCTGCTGGCACTCAATTTTCTTGTGTTCCCATTCAGTGAGAGGGTAGGATTAAATACTAAGGTCCCTTCCTGCTCTACCCCTTTATGATTCTATATATACACTTGGTAAGATGTTTAAACGAAATGCTTATAAAGTGCTTAGCGCAATACCTGGATCATGGAAGTGCTCAATAAATACTTGTTGAATGAATGAACTGGAGGGATGCTGAAGTGGAAAGGCTGGTCGGATGTCTATCTGTCCTACAAATAACAGCAAGGACACTCCTGCCAACATGATAACGCTAAGTAAGTGTCTACTGAGAAATGAAAACCATTGTTAGAATCATAGCACACAAGAGCTAGAAGTCATTTTTAAAAACTAGTCCAACCAGAAATCAACCCAAACATGTAAGCCAAAAGCTTGTAGGTGCAGAGCTAAAGATCAGATTTGTGTAAAAGAAACCTGAAGCCAAGCCCGCCACACCCCTTATTTAGTGGGGTTTGGGGGATATGGGAATGCCAGGGAAGAGATATGTAGTCCATGGGGCCACAACTGAACATTTCCTCTCAGGAAATTGAGGTAAAGCAGAGCTCAAAAAATTGTGTGTGGTAGGGGCGAGGGGTGGTGATGGAAGTGAACAGGGCAGGAAATACAGCACGCACAGTTTCGCTATCACCCCCAGCACAAGCTCTGAGCACTCTGATCCCTCAGTAGTAGCCACTTAGTGACATCTGCCACCAGATCAGAGGGGACGGCAGGCCACAGCATCCCCCTCTTCTCAAGGGTCTAAGTCACCATCTCGTTCCCAAGGAGAAACCGTATATGAGGGACATAGGGGTGGGAGTGGGAGTACACACACAGATTCCAAAGCCACCAGAAGGCAGAGGAAACTGAGAAGAAGGTCGACAAATCTCATTTGGACAAAGGCTGTTCTCAGGATGTTTACAGCCTCAAGCAGCAGATGTCAATCATCAGTAAGAGCAGCATTTTATTCATGTGCAGACTTCCCTTCCAGACTAACATGCTCCACTTGACAGGATCCGACAGCAAGATCGGAAAGCTGCAGTTACAGAAACCGGGGAAAGGTTTTATTTCTCAAAAAGGCTGGCGTGGCCAAAGTATGATGGGCAGGAAGTAAAATAACTTGGGTACCGGTTTGGTCTCTAGAGACACTGTACAAGTCAAATCCTATCTCTGGGGCTGAGTTTCCAAATCTGTGAAATGGGCGAGCTGGGTGGGCTGACCTTCCAATTCCGCGCCTTAAGGCTGCCCGGAGGGTGAGCTCCGCCCGGTTCGAGGGCGAGGCCGTGCTGAGCAGGAACTCACAAGGCCCCAGAACAGGGCCCGACCCTAGAAAAAGGGAAAGGACCGGGCAGCAAAGGCCGCGGCTTCGCTCTTACCTGCCACCGGCCGACTCCCCAGTCAGCCAAATCGAACCCTGCAGCCTCCGCCGCCGCTCACTGCCACCCCCTCCAGCTCGGCGCCCCGGCCCGGCCTGGCTCAATCCAACCAACCATGGCCCACAGCCCACAGCTTCACCCTCCAGCCCCGTACCCGCCGCCCGCCCATCCTTATCCGCAAGCGCAAGCGTAAGCGCAAGCGCATGCGGGCCGGAGCTCCACCCCCGGTCTCGTCCCGGGGTAACCTGGGAAATGGAGTTTACATCTCAAGGAGGCGCTCCCGGTGGTCACGTGATAAAGCTCACCAATTGGCACGCTTCTTACTGCGGAACTGCACCTGGATGTTGGCCAATGAGAGGTCGGCTTCATTTTCCTCCGGACTTGGGACAGGGGCAGTCATGGCGCCACCCGTGAGGTACTGCATCCCCGGTAAGTCAGCGGTGCCCAGAGCGAATCCTGGGCAGGGACGGAGGCAGGAAGGCCCGACGACCAACAGCTTCTGCGGACCCGTGGCTGATGCAGCGTTTTTTCCGCAGGCGAACGTCTGTGTAACTTGGAAGAGGGCAGCCCCGGCAGCGGCACCTACACCCGGCATGGCTACATCTTTTCGTCGCTTGCTGGCTGCCTGATAAAGAGCAGCGAGAACGGCGCGGTAAAGGGGGCGGCTTCCCCTCTTCTCCGTCTCTGCCTTTTTCTTAGGCTGCCTTTGATTTCGCAGTTTTTAGGCAGGGGACCTGCGGGCGCGTCTTCAGTGCCTCGTTCAGTAAAAGAAGTTGGTCTCTTAAGTTTGAACAGCTGTGGTCCCCGCTGCCGGGCACTTAGCCATCACAGAACAGTTTTGTTGGTCCGGCTTGGTTGTGTTGCTGACACTCGGGGAAGCAAGTTGGGGGAAGAGTGGAGGCGAGCTCAGCCCTGCAGTGAGCTGAATCCTGTCCGAATGTCGCCTACCTCTCCGACTTTATCTCCCTCCGCTACCCGCGCCTCACCCTCTGCTATCTAGTACTACTGGCTTCTTTCAGTGTCGCCAGTGCGCCACAGAGCCTTTGTACACACGCCGACTGGAACACGCTCCTCTCTTCCTTAGCCTATTCAATTCCTACCTACCCTTCAGATAGCCTCACTAGTATCACTTTCTCAGAGAAGCTGTCCTAGCCACTAGTCGAAAAAAGTTTTGTTTTTGTCTGTTTTGTTGAGCACTCACAAAGAGCTGTATTCTTCCCTTTCTAAGCACTTAGCTCAGCATGTAATTAAACACTCAGTTATATCAATAAGTTCCCCATTAGACCCTTCTCCCGTAGACTCCATAACCGCCGCGCCTAGCACAAGATAAATGCTCAGTAGATGTTTGTTGAATGCATGAGTAATATTATTCTCCCTGGTTCCAGAGGCTGATCCACGATTAGCTCAGGATCAGATAAGCAGTTCTTGAAGGAGCAGCTTAAAGGAGCGTAGTAGAAAGAGGATTCAGAGTTAGAACACTTCAGTGTTGACTAAACCTTGATTCTGCTTTAGATAAGAAACTTAAACCCTCTGGTTTTAGGTTCTTCCTCATCTATAAAATGAGAGACTTTTTATTCGATCAATTTGGGAATTTCCTTAGGATTTGAAAGTTTGTTCATTTCATAGCTATACATATAGCTATCTATGGAGCATTTTCATGTGCCAGGCACAGTGCTGACCTCTAGGGATGTTGTAATGAGCCAAATACACATGGTCTCTTATCGGGGGCACAAACACAAACTGTAAGCAAATATATGCTCAAATGAATGTATGCTTACAAATGTGATTCCTGCTCTGAAAGCATATTACGGGGTACTATGAGAACATGTAATAGGCAAACCCACCCTAGTCAGAAGTGACATTTAACCTGAATCTTTAACCTGAATATTTATATTTATCCTGAATAAAGGATAAATAAGAGTTGAGTGGGTGAGCATAAAGAACAGGTTGGATAGAGATCCTGAGATGGGAAGAAATTTAGTGAATTCATGAAACTGAAAAAAGGCCAGGAGAGCTGAGGCATAGTGAACAAGGTGCTATTATGTATGCTATTATATAACATTTATTTGGAAATTCTAGCCTGTCCAATAAAATGACAAACAGAAAGAAAGGTATAACTTTGGAGGAAAGAGTCACATTATCCGTGATTACAGGCAATATAGTTGTATGCCAAAAAGCTCTAAGAAAATCACCAGAAAACTTAGAACTCGTCTGAAATGGTTAGATTATGTCTTCTAGCAGCTTTCTTCCTGTGGCCCCTTGGCCATCCTATAGCCTAAAATGTCTAAGGCTCTCTGCTCTGGACTGCAAATGAATCTGTAGTCCACCTGCACTTGTGACCTCAACTGTGGCCCATGGCATTCCTATATTATTCTCAAGCCACAGACACTTTTACCCAAGACTTAGCAAGGATATTCATGTTTTATTGTTCTCTCTGTAGCTTCCTGTCATATCTGTGATGAGAGAAACAGAGTCCCAATTACTGCCAGATGTGGGAGCTATTGTAACCTGTAAGGTAAGTTGGTCCTAACCTCCCTGCTTAGGATACTGTCCAATGCTGAAATAATGATCATTGTAGAGCTGCACTGTTCAATAGGGTAACCAGTAGCCACATATGGCCATTTAAATTTAAATAAATTAAAATTAAACAAAATTTAAAATTTATTTTCTCACTTCCACTAGGTACATTTCAAGTGCTCAGTAGCCACAGGTGGTTGGTGGCTGCCATATTGATCAACACAGAATATTTCTATCATCACAGAAAGTTTTACTGGACTATGCTGGTCTAGAGATTTCTAGGATAATGATCAATGAGGTCAAGTTCAAGCTTGCATAGTTCTTTCACAGAGCTGATTCCCTGAGTTTGTAATTTTTTACTTTTGTCTGGGAGACGGGCACCAAAGGGTGATAAGGAAGCCCTTTTTTTTTTTTCTTTTTTTAGTATTTATTTATTTGGTTGTGCCGGGTCTTAGTTGCAGCAGGTGGGCTCCTTAGTTGCAGCATGTGGACTCCTTAGTTGCAGCTCGAGGACTCCTTTAGTTGTGGCTTAGCTCCTTAGTTGTGGCAGGCAGGCTCCTTAGTTGTGGCTCACAGGCTCCTTAGTTGCAGCATGCGGGCTTCTTAGTTGTGGCATGCAAACTCTTAGTTGCAGCATGCATGTGGCATCTAGTTCCCCAACCAGGGATTGAACCCGGGCCCCCTGCACTGGGAGCACGGAGTCTCAACCACTGCGCCGCCAGGGAAGTCCCAGAAGGCCCATTTTTGAACAACTGAAGCAAAACTCTTTCTGCAGAGAAACAAAAGATTTGATAGTCTTTGAGGGAAAGTACACATTAATGCGGTACTGGTCAGTAACTATAATATATCAGTACTCCCTGCCCATCCCCACTCTCTGCCAGTTAAATTAACTTGCAGCTCTTAGTTTTTCTCTATAAATTTCTCCAGCAGAAAATCTATGTGGGGATTCCCTGGCGATCCAGTGGTTAGGACTCCGAGCTTTCACTGCTGAGGGCGTGGGTTCAATCGCTGGTCAGGTAGCTAAGATCCCGCAAGCTGGGAAGCATGCCAAATTTAAAAAAAAACAGAACGGGAGAGAGAATGTATGTGTTATTTTGAAAATAACTGGAGAGGCAGTGATCTAAATATTATGCAGCAGCTGAAATGGAGACTTAAATTCTGTTCACACTACAGGGCTCATAGTAAGATCTGTTAAAGGTCTAGCTAGATTTGCTATATACTATAAATACCCTTGTGTATTTATGTTAGACTTGTATATTTTTCAAAACCTATTCCATCTCATTTGATTTCCACAGTAACTCTATTAAGTGGCCAGAGTGGCTCTTATTCCACTTTACAAATATGACTTATACAGGGATAAGTAGGAGTTAACTTGTCTTAACTTCTATACTTAGTAGGGTTGCTTGGACCAAAATCCTAGTTTATTCCCGCCTCCTTCAGCTGACAACGACTAATACTCACTCTAGTGCTGCTCTTTTCTCTATTGCACAGGTCTCTAGCATCAATTCACGCTTTGCCAAAGTACACATCCTATATGTGGGGTCCACACCGCTTAAGAACTCTTTTCGAGGAACTATCCGGTAAGAAGTATTTTTGTCTTCATATTTGCCTCAGCACCTGGAATGAGGTTAGGATAGAATGGGAGCCTGGAATTTTTAGGAACAATTACATTCTCTATTCCTGCCCATTTCTCTCTTCCTTTGTGCTTTGATTCTCCCCAGGTAGTAGCCAAAGAAAACGTTAAAACATGTGAGTTAGGACAAAAGGAAAATATTAATGAGATAGGGCTTTAAATAAAACAAAAAGGGTTGAGCTAAGCTGGAGATTAGCATTGTAGGGATGATTCATATCAAACAAAGTAGAAAGCATTTTAGGAAGTACCTTTCTTTCTTGAATTTAATATCAATTAAACCCAAGGACTGTAAAACAATAAAAAGGGTAGTGGGTGAAATGGTAAATTTTTTCCTATGGATTCTTGAGAAGGGACAAACAATTCTCGTGAGCTAGATAATTTAACATCTGAGGCTCTTTCCACCGTCAGGATTCTGTGTTGTTCTGTGGTGCTTCTGTTCAAGCTCTCCTAAGGCAGTGAAGTTCCTTATCCTTCCCAGCTAAATCTGATCCACTTTTCTCTAGTGGGAGGTATTGATACTGCTGCTCTGTGTGATCCAAGAATGGGAAATGTGGTTTTCTCCTCCAGGAGAAGACTAGGGATACATCTTCACCCTGCTCCTCTGGGTGGCCGCTGGGTCCCCATTAGGACTTGTTCTCTCTGCTGTTGTAGCTCTTTGTCTGCCAGGAGTCTGCAGGATAATTCTTTCTCACAGATAATTAACCTTTCTGTTAATTCTTTTTTCTTTATAGCAAGGAAGACGTCCGAGCTACTGAAAAAGACAAGGTTTGTTGGTTGGTTCTTTTTTTTTTTCATGGCTTTAGGAATCTCAATCCTTTTAAATTATTCCAGTGAATTTGAAAGGTCTATGGAAATGTGGAGTCCAAGGAATTTTAAGGTGTTCCCTTCTGGAAGGTGTGGAATTCACTTCACTGTCCCTTTCCTCTTCATATCATTTTTGTTCACTTTGTTGACCAGAGAGGGGCTAGTTTACTCTTTGCCTTTGAAGCCACGTATTTATTCATTGCTGTTTCCTCAGACTTACTCTGGAGCCTTTCAGAGCAACTATAGTACTTTTGTCCAAGTCAGATTCCTGATTAGGTTACTGAGTTCAAAATCTTTCATTTATGTGATGATGCCACAGAAACAATAAAAGTTGTTGATTGACTTGAGTAGTGATGACTTCCACCCTCTGAGATTAGAAGTTGACTGGTTCTGCCAGGGGTGTTAATAGTTTCATGTAGACCTGATTCGGAGCTTTCACTTAACACTCCTGTTCTTTCTTTACAGGTTGAAATTTATAAGAGTTTCCGCCCAGGGGACATTGTCTTGGCCAAAGTGGTATCCTTTATTCCCCTCAGACTTGTGGTCCTTTGTCAAAAGAAGAAATGGAAGTAGAGAAACCACTCAAGTGGCTATGGGAGGGATGGCTTATAACTCTGTTTTCCTTTACCAGTGTGATGTGACTAGATCTCCCTAGGTGATGCGCAGTCCAACTACCTCCTAACCACTGCTGAAAATGAGCTGGGAGTGGTGGTGGCCCACAGTGAATCGGGTGAGTTTGTCCATGCTTCCACATGCTTACCTTTACCTGGGAGCTAGGGTTTGGGATTAGTCCATTGTTTTCCCTCATTTCCCTTGTTTTTTAATTATCTAAAAAGCAATACTAGTGTAGATACTTACTACTGAGATTAGAATGATTCTCCTTATATAATCTAAGGAAAAGAGGCACTCACTCCATAAATCAGTGGAATAAACAAGGTTTTTTTCTGTATGAGGTGAGGTTCACTAGGCAGCTTGGTGACACTTCAGTTCATACCCAGCTGAAAAGAGAAGGGTCTCAAGCAAATATTTGGGGTCCCATCTCCAACTCCACCTTTTCCCTTCCAGGTGTCCAGATGGTTCCCATCAGCTGGTGTGAGATGCAGTGCCCTAAGACCCACACTAAAGAATTCCGGAAAGTGGCCCGAGTACAGCCTGAATTCTTACAGACCTAAGAAGCCACACTTTACCCCATGCACAGGAGTAAGCTCTTTCCAAGAGTACATGTGTGAACGTGACATCAGGGTGCTGTTGTCTTCATTCAGGCACCTGGGGCTGGCCAGCAGCCACCTCTAGAAAAATCTTACTCTATAGGCAAAACATTTTTCCTGTGAATCGTTCAGTGGATTTCATCCTCTTGAGTGATAAATTTCTCTTTTGGAGGCACCAGCAAACCAACTGTATGATGGTGGAAATAGCCTGTTCTTTCTGACAGTCTTATAAATATGTATTTTTTGCTGTGAAAAAGAAAACATTTTTACGAAAAGAATTTTATGGTTTCTATTATATTGAGTAGGGAAAAGAATCTAAACAGTGTCATGACATTTAGAGCAGGGTCTTGCCTGGTGGCACCGATTAACAGACATGTGTTACGTGCTTTCTTGCTCTAGACAACGCCTAATTGCCAATCTTTTTTGTATATTCTGTTGTACATACTTTTGCTTATTGAGTACTTGCTATGTGTCAGGCACTAGGTTAAGTACTTTATATACATTTCCTCATTTAGAGAGATTATGGTTTAGTGAAAATTATGGGACACATGTGGTGATTCAGGTAGCATGTTAGTAATTCTGAAAGTAATTTGGTAAACAAAGTATTACTGATACAGTAGATACTCCAGGAAATGTTAAATCTGAATTGAAAAGAGGTACAGAACACTATCATGTGAAGTGGCCAGGAAAGGATTTGTAACATGAAGTGAGAGGAATTAAAGAACTAAGATAAGTGAGGTGAAGATATTCAGAGCAGAGAGAGAAGCCCAAGCAAAGTGCAGAATCAGGAATGTACACACAAGCTTGAGGACAAGCAAAGGATGAGGGTTAAGCATGGGGAGGTTGCAGAGAGAATGAAAGGAGAGATGAATTATGTCACTTCTTGAGATGTTATTAGGGAGCCCATGTCTTCTCTGTGAAGTGAGAATGGTTGGGGTAAGGTTTGGAGTCATCCCACCTGGGTTTGTGTCCTCTCGTTGCCTTAAGCCGGGTTATACGTTGTTTTGTTTTTTTTATTTTATTTTATTTATTTTTTCGGTACGCGGGCCTCTCACTGTTGTGGTCTCTCCCGTTGCGGAGCACAGGCTCCGGACGCGCAGGCTCGGCGGCCATGGCTCACGGGCCCAGCTGCTCCGCGGCATGTGGGATCTTCCCAGACCGGGGCACGAACCCGCGTCCCCTGCATCGTCAGGCGGACTCTCAACCACTGCGCCACCAGGGAAGCCCGTTTTGTTTTTTTTTTGATTGAAATTTTTATTGACATAATTGTAAGTAATTGCAGTTTTAAGAAATAATACAGAGATCCCTTATGCACTTTTTCCAGTTTCCGCCAGTGGTAACATTTTGCAAAATAATAATATGCTGTACTATAACAATCAGGATGTTGAACTGATACTTGAGCAAATTATTTTTATTTCTTTAAGTCTGTTTCCTCATCTGGAATAGTATGACCTCATAGGATTATTATGAGGAAATGTATAAAAGTGGTTAGTACACGCCAATATTACTGTTATATATTATTGTTGTTATTATATAACTGATTGCCTTCTATCAGGTATCTACTAAATGCCAGGACTTAATGCTAGATACTTCAGTGTAGTTTGTATTGATATAATCAGTCTCCTATTGATAGATATTTTTAAACTTTTTTTCTTTTACAGACAGTGCTGCAGGGAAAATCCCTATACCATATATCTTTGTGCATGCCTATGATTCTTTTGCAAAACAGATTCCTAGCAGTATAATGCTGAGTAAAAGAATATGCACATTTAAATTTTTGGTTAGATTCTCCCTTATTGCCTTGCAGAAAGATGCTACCAATTGATTTTCTCAACAGTGTTAGCCATTTTACTTACGTTATCTCTGAACTTCACAGTGACCTGGAAAAGTAGCAATTATTTCCACATGTTACAGATAAGTAAACTAAGGCTTAGAAAAATTAATAAATCTCACAGACATCAAGAGGCAGAACAGTGTTCAAACTCAGATCTGTTTTACTGTAAAGCCTGGGCCCTTCCTTCTGTACCATGGTGCCTCATTTTTCCAAGTATTGAACAGAAACCTCAGGCATGCAATTAGAGGCTCTCCAAATTGACATTGGTTAATTAATTATAAGTGCTTGTTGGACATCATTCATTCATTATATAAATATATTTGAGCAACTCCTCTGCCCACCACTGCTCCAGGAACTAGGGAGTAAAGCAGTGAACATGATAGAATCCTTTCCTTGTGGAGCTTACATTCTAGTGGGGGGGGACTATTGGTGGGAGGGGAGACAAATGAAAAGTAAACAAATACGGAAATGTTATAATTTCAAACAGTAATTTTAAAAAGTGTCATAAAGAAGAACATTTGAAACAACTGGGTAATGGCCTTCTGATTTGCTGCAAACCAGGTTAGATTTTCTCACCCTTAACCATGCAATATTGTATTACATGTTTGTTGTGTGCGTGTCTCACACATGCTGTCTTTAAGGGCAGCATGCTGTCTTCTCTATCTTCAAATCTCCAGTACCTGGTACTGTGATTAACATGTAGCAAATGCTCAATAAAAATTTTTTGAGCGTACTCATAGCTGACTGAATAGCTATGCCCAAACAGTGATTGATATGTAGTAATGGTGATATTTGTTAATCTAGAGACAGGGAGGATATACTTTCTGTGCCTTGGAAAAGTGGTTCTCAGCCTGGGTTAGGTGAACTTCAAAATTGCCTGTAAGTGGTAAAGGGGTAGCAGGGGGAGTGCAGGGGAAAAAAAGACTGCAGGTGCCCTAGCCCTGCTTACGAATCTCATGGTTGAACCTGTGGGTGTTAAGGGTTTGTTCAGCTCCACAGGTGATTCTGATGTGCTACTCTGGCCAAGAGACACTGTCTTGGAGGGATAGTAGTTGTTGGCCTCCTAGCCATAATGGTAAATGAGGATGGCTTTCTGTTATTTTCCTGCCCATAAGGCAGGAGTTCTAGCCAGGAGTCTAAGTTGCAAGGAATGGAGACTGCTGTAAACTCAAGTGATGTCAGGACATAGAGTAGTAGTAATCAAAGCTGATCCAGCCTGATTTGGGTGAAGAGCACTTGATCAAACAAAATTACCAACTTCTGGTCTAAGATTCAGTACCAGCTAAGTAAACTAACATCCCACCAGGCTACTGGAGACTTAAATTACTAAAGGTCTTCCTAGGATTAATGTGTAGATCAAATAAAAAACTAAACTTGAAAAGCAAGATGCTTAAAAGTACTTAAATTTTAGAATAAGAATCTTTGATTTAGTTGCAGTAACATTCATCTGGGTTCCAGTACTTAGTAGTGTACCTTCTGGCAAGTTTCTGTTATCGTTTTCAGCATCTTTCCTCTTCTGTAAACTGGGGATACTAGCCCTTTCAGAGGTTGTCAAGATTGGAGATTATGTAGGTAACGTACTCACCCAATGGCTAGCATAGAAGCACTTCATAAGAGCTTTATAGATGGTGTTACTTGCTCCTACTAGAAGAGAAAGGCATTATGGGCTTTCTCATGTTCCAGTGATCTTTTCAAAGGCCTTAGAGAAAAGGTAAATGTGAGTAGTGCCCCTTCCCTATTACGTATATAATCAGTCGGCCCTCCCTATTCATGGATGTGACACCTGTGAATACGGAGGGCCAACTGTACTGCTTAGTTTTACATAAGGCACTTTAGCTTCTGTTAATTTTGGTATCCACAGGAGTCCTGGAACCAGTCCCCCACTGCAGATACCAAGGGATGACTGTATATCCCTTTTCTCCTGCATGTGTAACTTTTGAGGATGTTAATTAGTTGACTGATAGGGTTAAAATTTTAGGGGCCAAAAAGAAAGGTGTGAATCAAGTTTAAAAGTTACTAACAAAAAAAGGGTTGGCTTTTTTAAGTCTAGTAAACAAGCATTTACCTTACGCTAAAGAGGGCATACTAGTTTCAGAATTTGATTTTCCAGTGTTCGGTAACCAGCACCACTGAGCAAGAGCTGTAGAGAGGCAACAGGAATACAGAGTTCAGCTCTCCAACACGGAAAACCCAATGAGATACATGATACTTGGACCAGGCTATGTAAAGTTGTGACTGGTTGTCCTAAAAGCTCTTAATCTGTCATACAAGGACTTGAGTAATGAGAGACATTTCAAGTTGAATGTTTGAGTTGATTTCCTCAGATAAGACATACCACACATGACACAGAAAATATTGCACATCACTCCTTTATCATACTGACCTGGAAAAAAGATTTACTACAGTTATGCTCAAATGAGTACTGGGCCTAAGTGGTGGGCCAAGCAACTGGAACATGGTTCAGAAATCAGGCACAGTGAAAGACACACTTGGATGTGATCAAGAGGCATTCCGCTGCCATAAAACAATAAGGCGGGGGAGGGATTCTAAAACACACAGCAGGATGAGCTCCTACACCTTAGAAGTCAAGAAGCTTATCCCATGACGGTGTAAGGAATGGCTCATTTTCTGATGACCACATGTGGGAATATTTCAACCGCCACTAGAAACCCCAGAAGGGTTTTTTTTTTTAATTTATTTATATATACATATAAATTTTTCTTTTGTAAAAGTAAATGCAACACATAAACATTCAGGATTGATCCCAATCTTTTGGAGTCAGGGAGGAAGTGTTTGATTGAATCACCATGCAGGTTACATTCATCTTCCACTGGAATGACTAGAGCCCCCAGTCACCTGAACAGAACAGTGCCCAGCTAGCCTCTGGGAACACAAATAGGCACTCTTGCTTCTCCTCATTGGTCACACCTTGGCATGGTTCCTCCCTATCCCCTACTCAAGCAGGTCCTTAGTAATAAACAAACCACTAGCAACGCCCCACCCCAGTTACTACCTCTCAACGCTCTTGGATAAGTCTTCCCTTGGCTTGGACTGAGGTCCATGTCCCAGAGGTGCCATTCTGACTAGACTGTATGAAGGGAGTGGGTGCAAGAGAGAAAATGGCTAAAATGAAATTGGGAGCCACTGCTCCCCATCCGCAGCTACAGCTTAAGATGCCTACAGATGTCGTCAGTGTGACGTGTGCAGGGGAGAGGTGCAGAGGAATGGATGGGCTTGGGAGGAAGGGTAATCCTTGGGAAAGTAATCTGCTGCTCGACCTCACTTCTTGGCCTTGCCCTGGGCAGCCACAGCCTCCATGGCTTTACGCACGGTCTCTTCATCACCCAGGAACTGCATTGGCTTGATGGGCTTCAAGTTCTTGTCCAATTCGTAGACAATGGGAATGCCAGTCGGCAGGTTCAGCTCCATGATAGCCTCCTCGGAGAGACCTGAAAATACACCCCGCTATGATCAGTCAAGCAAGATATGAATCCACAGACCTCTCCAGCGTTGCTATTCATTCTCCGGGTGGGGAAACAGGTCCTCCAAGGACTTTCGTAGGAATTAAAACAAGACAACCTTTCTGGTATTTGTCATAACAGTAATGATCTGTGTTATAGTAGATCGCTCACCCAAGGAATGCCCCCGTAGCTTATTTCTCAGTCACTGAAAAGCAAGAAAAATGGATGAAAGGTATGTCTCCCAAAGTGAGATCTGGAAGCCCACAGTAAAGCTGGACTATACGTATCTCAAATGTCCTATGTAGTCCATCCAGGCTGCCAAAACTCAGCACATCTGGGCCTCTAGGCCCTTGGGTGAAACAATTTAAGATGCAAACTGAGATTCATCTGTGGAGTTGTACCAGGTTGTGATTAAGAAGGATTTTTATCAGCAGTTTCGACTGGTAATCCTAGTCTAGAGGTAGGCATCTCAAACTTCCATGTGTATCT